TATAACTTAAGTGGAAGAGCTTTATCATTTATCTGTCTTTTCATTGATGACCTATTTATCAATTAAGTGATTGATAAACACTTACCAAAACTGTGTCCATTATCTGACAATTGTTCGATCATTAGATTATCGATCAATTGATTGATAATTTTCAGGACTTCTACACAAAACAGTGTTAATGATGATTGATCAATTGATCGATCAACACATATAAACTAATTTATCTATCAAGTTATCGATTAACATTTCTGCTAAGTTACTCGTTTACAAAGGGAATTTATTTGACAAGTGATCGATAACCCCTTGATCGATCAAGTGATCAATCAACTTACCAAAACATTGATTACCCAATTTATTATCATCAAAACCTTAAATCTAACAAATGTGAGCACCATAGGTGTGTTTCTCAAAATAAGTGTTGACTAGATTTATAGCAAACTTCATCAAGGATCTTCATTTACAAAACAAGGTTGGGACAACATTCACAGAGAATTCAATGAAAAGACAGGGAGAGGATATGAAAAAAAACAGCTGAAAAATAGGTTAGATAACTTGAGGAAAGAGTGGAAGACATTTGATAAACTAATTGCTAAGGAGACCGGTATAGGGTGGGACCCTGAAAGGAACATAGTGGTGGCATCTGATGAGTGTTGGGGGAGGAAATTATGGGTATAAAGTAGCTTATGTTAATTTATAAGTAGTATTATGCTTTTGGAATCGATTTAACTCTGGTTTACTTTTGACTTTGCAGGAAAATCTAGCATATGAAAAGTTTAGGCACTATGGGTTAAGGTTTTGCACTAAATTGGAAATTATATTTAAGGACACTATAGCATCAGGAGATGATATGTGGGCACCATCTTGGACCAAGCCTGCACCACAGAGGGGTGATCAGCCAAATGACTCCAACCAATAATGGATTAGCAAGAAGGTTTAGGGGATAGGCAAGAAGGTTCAGGGGATAGTGAAGACGACACTGGACACTGTGCAGGAGTTTCAGACTATTTGGACGGCATCAATTTAACTGCAAACACATCAAACACTGCACCCACTGTACCTAGTACTTCAGGGAGTCAAGGGAAGAGGAAGAGAGGTGAAGGGTTGGACAAGTACAAGAAGAAAAAAATGCCAACGACAAGAAGAATAGCAGATGCAGTAAGTTTGATTGAGAAGGCTTCAATTAGTACAGCAGAGGCAATAGACAAAATCTCCAACATTGATAACACTACTGAGCTCACCGCTGATCTACTGAGTATGCCTGAAATTGTCAGTGACACTCATCTTTGTGTCATCTGTTATAATCTGCTGGCAAACAAGATGTTCAGGGAGATATATGCTGGTCTGAGAGAAAATCAGGAGGTATTAGTAGCTTGGTTGAAGCACAATGCTGCAAACCTGCCGCCATATATTGCACCGAAGAATCCTTGAGTTGTGCCTAATGACTTATTATGATTTCTGTTTATCTATCTTAATGTATTTGGTTATTGTGTGTCATGATGATGTGTTTAATGATTGTTTGTTTAATGACTTTGTTTAATGTTGTGTGCTTTATAACTACGTTTAATGTTGTGTTTCATGACTATGTATAATTATTATGTTACAGTTTAATGCCTATTTATCACTTATCTTTTCTCTTTTTTTTTGTGTGAAAATGTTACTCACATTTAGTATTTAACTACTCACAAGTAACATAATCCATGTCTAATTCAACGGAGGGTTGGGGCGAGGGTTGGGATGACGGACGATCTCAATTACTTCCCGCTTTACATGAACACACAACACAAGTATCACAGCTAAGTGTGTTAATGGGTCAATATGTGACACCTTTTCTATGCAAACTGCCATGCAGAACTAGCGAACAAATAGGTTATTTATGGGTTCAAGAACTTTTGCACGGGCATGAAGGACGGTCTAAGGAAATGTTTCGAATGGAAACAGAGACATTCCATCAGTTATGTTCTAAATTGGTGGAACATGGGTTGCAAAATTCTAAGTACATAGGTGTCCATGAATTTGTTGCCATGTTCTTGAATACAATTGCGCATGGTTAGTGTAATAGGATGATTCAATAAAGGTTTCAGTGTTCAGGAGAAACTGTCAATTGGCATTTTCATAGAGTGTTGGATGCTTGCCTCAATTTATTTCGAGAAAATATCAGGCCCACTGATCCTACATTCTCCTGTTGCCATCCAAAAATAGCAAATGATCCCCGATACTTCTCATTTTTAAGGATGCAATCGGCACAATTGATGGTACCCACATAAAATGTCAGTTCAGGCTAGGCAAGACAAATATATTGGGAGGAAGGGATTTCCGAGTCAAAATGTCATGGCCGTATGTGATTGGGATATGTGCTTCACGTTCATATTGGCAGGCTGGGAAGGTAGTGCACATGATACTCGTGTGTTTCAATATGCTATTTCAACTCCATCCATGAATTTGCCTCATCTACCTGAAGGTATATTTCTGTAAATTTCGAATCAATTATTTTAAAATTAAGCTTCAATTGCATTATTTTCACCTCAACATAATTGAGTCATGATTTTCTAGGCAAATTTTATTTGGTTGATGCTGGTTATTCATCACAAGTGGGATACCTTGGCCTGTACAGACGTGAGTGCTATCACCTTTCAGACTTTAATCGTCAGCCAGGATTTAGAAATGAGAATTAGGCCTTCAATTATTATCATTCAAATTTGAGATGCACTATTGAAAGAACTTTTGGGGTTTGAAAGAATAGGTTTGCCGTCTTAAGAGACATGCCCAGATTCAAGTTTCAAGCATAGGTCCGCATAGTTTGTGCAACAATAGCTGTCCATAATTTTATTAGGCAAAATTCTCCAACTGATGACCGCTTTATAGAAGCTGAGCATGGAAGTATAATAGATGAAGACAATAATCATCCAACTGGTGAGGCATCATCGTCAAGTTTAACATCTATCGTACAAATGAATCGTGTTCGTGACTCAATTAGACACCAAATTGTGCAAAGCTTACAATCTAATTAGTTATGTGATTTTATTTACTTTAATTAGAGACCAAATGAATTTTAATTTAATTTATGTTCATGTTTGTCCATTATACATATTCAATTAAGTACGATCTAATTACTTATGTAATTTCATTTACTCTAATTAGATACGAAATGAATTTTAATTTATGTTCATGTTTGTCCATTATACATATTCAATTAAGTACGATCTAATTACTTATGTAATTTCATTTACTCTAATTAGATACGAAATGAATTTTAATTTATGTTTATGTTTGTCTATTACATATATTTAATTAATTATCTACAATATGTTTTTAAATTTTTCTCAGTAACAAATATTTTTATTTTATAATCTCACAAATAAACTATTTTTATTTTATCATAATAATTTTAGATATTTTTTTAACAATTATCACATTAAAAATATCAAACACTACTATTCAATAAAGTATATATCATTTTCAGTCATTTTACAACTGAACTAATTTTTCTATTCATCCAAACAACTTTTAACTTTTCCAACTAACTTTTTAAAAGCACCTATCCAAACATAGCATAACTGATTTTTACTCTAACTTCAGTTACAAAAGTCAGTTAGACTAGAAGTCAATTTTGTTCAACGCCAATCTAAACATACGTTAAGAAGAGAATCTTGAGGACAATCTTGTCAATCTAAAGAATTATGAGGGTAATAATGACTTTTAACATTAAATCATGAATCGTGTGATCTCAATATATGTGCTTAAACTAACCATAGCAAGATATCAGCTATCCTTATTTTATAGGTAAATTTACATGTGTATGTATACATTTTAACAATTAACACTAGCACAATAAATAATAAGTGTGATTGAACAATTTAACCTAATAAAAATTATTAGCTTATGAGAAGTAATACAAAGGTTCACAAAGATATGAAAAATTTAGGAAAAATTACACTCAGCTCCCACAGAAAATAATTAATTTTAAAAAAGTCCCTAAAAATCCTGAAATGATTCTGAAGTCTCAGGGACCTGTGTGTAATTGATTATAATTGTGAAATTACTTATTTACCCCCATTAATTTTATTGCAACAATTCATTTACAATCTCAACAGTGGCTGTTGACAATCCGAGAAGAAGTAGTTGACAACCTCGGCAGTGCTCCTGACAACTCACTCTGTGGGATGCCAGGGGCACTGCTGAGGTTGTTAACATCTCTCCTCAGGTTGTCAACAGTCACTGTTGAAGTTGTAAATGAATTACATTGGGTTCAAATTAATAGGAGTAAATAGATAATTTCACAATTACAATTAATTATACACACGTCCCTGGGGACTTAGGAGTCATTTCGAGATTTTTAGAGACTTTTTTGAAATTAATTGTCTTCTATGGGACCTAAATGTAATTTTTTCAAAAATTTATCTATGCATATAACAATAGGAAAATAATAACTGTGCATATAAAAATTTATTTAGATTATGAGAAGTAATTAAAAAATTTACAAAGATTCATATATAAATTTACACACACATATACATTTTTGTAAAAATAATAAAATAATAAGTGTGATTGAAACATTTAACCTAATAAATATAATTTGTCCTTGGTTACAAGTGCACATAAACACATACATATTTTAACAATTAAAAATAACAAGTTTTGTCTTTATTTGAAATAAAATTGTATCAGCGGGGTTAACCGAAAAAATTCTCTCAATGTCAAATCTCCCTCAATAGCTCAAGTTAAATTTTATAAAATTTGTAGCTACTTTTATTGTTACCATCCAAGTGTCATTCTTGAGGGTTTTTTTTTTTTTTTCTCATAGAAATCTCAAAAGTAGAAGAAAAATTCAAACTTAGCACCTGGAAATTGAACTAGGCAAGAGGATGCCACATAAAATTCAGGACTAAAATTCTTCCACCGTAAATAGAAGAATTGAACAAAATAAACAAGAATACTTAAAACAATAAGCTCTTGCGAGTACAGAGCAAATTCTTGTGCATTCGAAAAAAGGCGAGAAAAATAAAAAATTCTTCAAGATCTAAATATTGCATTTTCACCATATTGTTAGACCTCACGGTAAGTTTTGAGAAAAGTATTACATCAAGGTTGTCTATGTTCAAATACTAGTACTACCGAGGATTCCCGCATAATTCATAAAGTTAAGGTCTCCGCTGAGAGTCGTTTACAAAGAACAGCACAATACAGTAGGGTAAAATTAGCCAAAAACCATGTTATGTACAGAACTGAAGCACAGCTTCATGCTTTCTCCTTCTCATTGTCCCCTTTTCTTGTTTAACGGAGGAAATGATGTGTGAGTCAGATATCTCTTAACAAAAACATTGTCGTCCAGCCAAAGGATTTTCAACCCCAGGGGCGATCAGGCAGTCACAAGATGGGGAGATGCTCGTGGAAGGCCACACGAGTAAGTGACATACTTGACACTATCTATAAGCACAACCACAAAAATCCGAGGAAGTGATTTAGGCTTCATCACACCATCCACGTCAGCATCTCCCACCTCTTTGGGATCAACAAGGACCGAAACCACCATGGAAGATGTTGATTTATTACCATGGAGGTTCTCGTTCTGGGAATTTCTCATAACATGTTCTTCACTTGTGTTGAGACCAGATCCGGCAAGGGAACGTGGCAGCTTGTGAAGGAACCTTCTATTCCTTCTCTTGTTGATGCTTGTATCATTCTGGCGGTTAACAGGAGAAACATTTGCAACTGATGATGCTGGAACTATAGCTCCCGGTTTTGGCGAAGCATCAAACTGGAAAACCTCCGTGCACATCCCAGAACTCAACATTGGCCCTGCATCAGGAACCCAGAACTTTCAGTAATTGTGAGAAATATGGGTAAAATTGGGAGAAGAACAAAATAGAAACACTGCTTCCCCCCTCTAAGTTCAAAATGGAAACATGTCACCAAAGAGAATAAGAGAAGATTGGCAGCATTCTAGAAGAAAAGCCAGAAATGCATTTCCTGGCGGAGTGTATTAGTGACTGTATAAATAACAACAATGTATGAAAAAGATATTGAATAAAGACAACACTTCAAAAAAGGCCAGAGTACTGTGCTTTAAAAAATGAAAGACCTCAAACATTCAATAATACTCATAACAAACATACAAACAAGATGAATAATTTCACAATCACCATACAGAATGATGGTTTTTTTCATATTGTTCTGACAACTTTGTTGTGTACTTGGACAATCCATATGGTACAGGCTAGCTACCAGCCTAGACAATAACTATGACATAAGTCGGTGAAAAAATGCATCAATTATACCAAGCAATCTACACGTAAAGGGAAACTCAGAAAAAGAGACAAAGAACAAGCATCTCACCAGCAAGACCTTCACGAAACCATTGTTGCATTTTACCATCAGTCGCAGTTGACTTTAAATGGTTCTTCAATGTTTCAGCTGAACCAGAGGCAAGAGCCTTCCGCTGTTCAGGCGGGCTCCTATATGAGTGAGGTTGTTGACCGCTGTTCCTTGCAACGTCAGGAATAGCCAGTGCAGAATCCCAATTTTTAGAAATCATCAATCCATTTTCTCTCGTATTCTTTTCTGTATGAGCAGTATCAGATGCCATGGCTTTTTCAGTAGCCAGAACAGAGTGAATTATCAAGTTTCCATCAATTTTCACTAGCTTATCATTCCTTGGAACATACAGAGAAGCAAGAAGAGGCTCGGAGTCACTAGTATTTCCTCTATGAACAAAGTCATCTGAGCTCATTCTACATGGTGAGTCCTGTTGTCTCAGTGTTTCTTCTAATTTGCGAACTTTCTCATATAACGTTCTGTCGGAAATACCCAAATTCCCGCTAGAGAATTTTACTCCCTTTTCTCCTTCAGATGTATTTATATGACCATTAACCTCCCAAGCTTTTCCTCCGTGGTGACTATAGAACCTATCAGTAGCAGAGATGGGCCTCCTGGGAACATTGTCCCATATATCTCCAAACTTAACATTAACTAGAGGAACGAGTCCACCAAAAAGAAATATAAAGAAAAACAAACCCAACAAGCTAATGCTAGCAACCTTCTTAGTTTTTCCTTCAGTCTTCTTATTATCGGATTTTTTGGCTTTTGGCGCAGATTGCGACTGTTGAGACTTCAATCTGGGGATAGGAACTAGAGGAACCTGAGAACCTTGCGGTTTGACAACATAGGGTGCATACGGCACCCATGGAAAAGGCATTGGTGCCATTGGAGGATGAGGGTACACCCCTGGAGCTGGCGGCGGGCAAGTTCCACCGCCACTCAATTGCTGTCTCAAAGCAGCATTCTCGGCCATAACAAACGATACCTTACTGCTTAAATCAGTTATGGTGGAATGCATTGACCTCACCTTCTCCTCAAGCTCCTCCACATAGTGCTTCTTTCTCTGTCTGGAGAGCTGGGCACTTTCTCTATTCCTCATCAGCCTAGCCTTCCTTTTCCCGTCCTCTTCATCCACGGCATTAAGATCAGACTGTTGAGAGGTATTCACCGTAGACTTTCGGTACTTGGTAGTTCTCGCCTCGGTATTTCCTTCATTCTGTTGCTTCTTCCTTTTCAAATCACAGTTTTTACCCATGTCCTCCAATTTCATATTTTGATGAGTAATCCCATGAGAAGAAATGTCTCTGTCGTCGCTGTAAGAATCTGGTGAAGACGTTTTCATCACTTCATCAGCACACGAGTCACCTAAACCACCGTTGCCTGAACCCTGGGATGAAATGGACCCACCAGAAGATTCCCTGTCGCAAGAATCCGAATCTGGCGATTTAAAGCTCGAAACCTTGACATGCAGTGAATGAGGGGAGTTCTGGTCACCCGAATTTTCCAAAGAGTGTGTCACAGAACGCTCGCAACTACCGGACTCAGGTGATTTTGTGTTCAAAAACTCTGAAACATCAGGATTCCGATTCCCCGAACCCGAAGAACTATCCGAGTCAGGTGACCCAGAATTGGCATTGTCGTAGCTCAACTGCTTACCATGGTCATTCAATTCATGCGATCCAGGCGGCTGAGCATAGCCATCGGAGAGCAGGAAATCATCGGTTTCGTGAGGAATATGGAGATCGCCAAGATCGTCAAAGGAAATCTCAAAATCGCCATCAGTCCCCAACTCCATGGCTAATTCAAGATCCGACGCGAATGCTTCAGAGGGCATGGCATGCTCGTTGCCGGAGAAAAAGAGCGGATCCATGGATGGGACAGGCAGGTTATCAAACTCCGAAGATAAATCATCGAAAGTCAGATCGGAGGATGAAATTGGTTCAGCCATGGCGAGGGTTTTAGAAATTAAGGACCCAAAGAGGGTTTATGAGGTCAGGCAACAAATGCGACAACGACCTCGAGGTTTAGGGCATCCACAAGATTGTATTTGCCTCTAGCTTTTTTTCTCCGCCCTGTCTCCTGCTCCAACACACCCAATTTCCCCTTAAGATTCACGCCACTTTCCTTCTTTTTCGCAAACGGATCCACTTTCATCAGCTCCTTTCCAGTCCGTCAATGCTATACACCATACTTCTTCAGCAATAAACCCGAATCGAAGCACAGAGGCGATGGAATTACAGAAAACGGAGGAGCAGAACAGGTATTGCCGTATTGCCGCTGAAGAAGGCAATGCCAGAATGTTCCGTTCACCAAACCATTTTTCAACTGTATTCACCAAATCTTTCAAATTGGTAAATTATGACTGCTGACTTTATTACCTCCTTCAGTTCTTATCCTTATTTTACTTGTTTTATTACTTGAGAGTTAGGACCTTAAACTTACAAATCATATTTTTAGTTCCTTTAAGCCAGGAAGGTTCGTTTTTGTCAGATTGGGCCAATTTAAGTAATAGCCTATGCAGATAAATATTGACAAAGCATACTTACATTTTAGTTTTTTTAATATAATATTTTAAAATATAAACCTCCATCATTTGCTCAATCAGCATTGGTCATTAAAAAAAGGAACAATATTAAATTTAAGAGACGATTGCTTCATAAATACTAAAAGTTTCACTTCATATAAATTTTAAAAACTAAGGAAAAATCTTTAAAAAAATGATTGTTGAATTCTAAAATTCCAAATTAGAAATTACTACAAAAATATGTTGTCATTTGATTTTTAAATGTAGTCATTTTTTTTATGAATGTAGTAACTAATACTGATTTGAAATTTGAAAATTCAACCGTCATTTGTTTGGGATTTTTTCAAAAACTAAACATATAGTTTATCCAAATTTTTTAAAGGCATGAATTTAAATTTTAAAAGTATTACCATTTTAAGTGAAATGTTGTTAAAACATGTTTGGTTCAATCCCATTACAAGTATGCAATGATAATGAAGAGTGCATTACCCAAAAAAAAAGTGTTTGGTTACTTTTAGTTTAATAATGGGATTTACCATAATAACGATTTGTATCAAAAATATGGTACTCATTTGATCTTTAATGTAGGATTTAATTAGAGAGTTAATATTAGTTTTATATATAAAATTTATTTCATATATTTACTAATTTTTTAAATTAATTCATTAATATTTTTTAATAATAATTAAGTAAGAGAAAGAGAAAGAAAATTTAAAAAAAATACTTATAATATTTAAAAAAAATTCATATTAACTGATTTAAATAAAAAACGGAAAAATAACACCCATTCACACCTCCCCTGGGGAATTCTCATTACCACTCGTTGCATCATTTGAAAGGTCTTATTCACCCTTGAATTACATTTGTATTTGTTCTCGCCGTCTCATCTCTTCCCCGGCCTCCTCCATCATGAGCCATTCATCAACCATCACCACCACGGCAGCACCAACCCCACGGACCAGAGTTAGCACTCTCTCTGTCTCTCTCTCTCTCTCCAGCCCTTTTCTTTTTGTCTCCCTTCCTTATTATCATCGTCTCCTACTCCTTGGCCCTCTTCATTCCATTAGCATCATCATCTCCATCCTTTGCCGTCAATATTCGAAGTTGTAAATCTCCTCCTCAAATCTGTTTTCATTTCTATGAATGAATGTCCCTCTCTAAATCTATTTTCCACAGATGTTCATATCGGTTTTAGCCGTGACAAGTTCCAGATTTCCGCATTTATGCGGTTTAGGTCTCTATGGAAGATTAACCCACATTTAAAACTTGATTTATCGATTACTTCCCTTTCAATTCGTTACTGCGTTTCTGCTGATTCTTGTCTGCATATTTGCCGTTGAGAGTAGTGTTTTGGCTGAGGCCTGAGGATTTCCCCATCTCCTTTTGCTTTGTCTCAAATTTTCGTCCCATAAACTAATTAATTACACTGTCACTTTGTAACTATGTCATCAAAAAATATGTTTAATTAATAATCAGAAAAATGCAGTTTGAAGGAATGGGATTCATGTCAAAGTAGTGTGGCGATTATTTAAACCACATTGGTCCATCGTTAGGTGGGATTTTACGAAGCGGCTCTTTCATGAAGAGGGAGCTGTGATTTTATGGAAAGTAGTAGAGAGAGAAAGGAAGGAGAGAGAGTGAGAATAAAAGAGAAGTGAGGAAGAAGGAGAGTGATGGAGAGAGAGAAAACACTGCTCGCATAGAGCAACTAAGTGGAGGAAAGAGGAGAGAAGCTGAGGAAGAAGATGCCACATCAGCATAAATTAACAGAGTTAGTGACGGAGGGACTTAAGTCATAACTGAGCATATAATAAGGATTCAATAAAATATAAAAAAAATATAAGGACCGGATTCAAAATTTAATAAAACTCTAAGGACTGGCAAATTTATTTTTCAAAAAAAAAATAGGACGATAATAATTCAATCAAGTAAGATGCAAGAATAAGCGTGGAAGGGATGCGTAACTAAAGGGATCACTTCTTGATGCATAAGATTTCCAAAGTGTTATTCCTTAAAAAAAGAAACTCAGAATTGTAAATTTAAAAAAAAAAAAAAAGGCAAATCAAAAGTATTTAAATTACGAAAAGGTGTGAATCATTATCTTAACCTTTTCACGACGAAACATCTGGGCAAACAATGACCTCACAATAGCAATCCGCATACAATAGCATCTGGAGCTTATTTCTTTTTACACAAGGTAATACACCAACCATTAGAAAACATTGCGTTCGATACTTAGTATAAGAATTCATTTGATTTTTATTTTAATTCTAAATATAAGACCCTAATTCACTTTGTTTTTCATATTTATCTATTTTTTTTATAGTCCATGTAATAATAGTAGTTCTAGTCAATACACTCTATTAGCAAGAATATTTTAAGAAAAGCAACACTTATTTATTATAAATAACTAACTTAACTAGTTTTTTTAATCAAATCAAGTTAATCAACTGACTCTTATATTAAAAACAGAAAATAGCAGTGGAGAACAGTGGTATCAAATAAAGCCCAAGTCAACCTTTTGATCTAGTAATAATTATAGCTAAGGAAAGCCAAATTTGAGAAGGACAATGAACCCAACATTTCTTGTGTGGCCAAACTAAGAGGAATAGCACTTCATCATATCTTGATGAAGTGCAGTGTTCCTCTTGTAGCATATGATATTAATGACAAAGATAACATTGTTTTTTATTCTAATTATAAGATCTTATTTATAGATTACAGACGACATCTTATAACGAGGATCAGAGATAGTACTATGTGACAAACCCTTGCTAATAACATGTGTCCTAGCTGTATCACAAAATTTGAGAGTGAGCAGTTTATGATGAGCTTAATAAAAGAGAAGCAATCAATCTTAGATTTTACAAAAGCGCAAGATATGTTTGTCACTAAAAAAAAAAGGTACAAGATACGTAAAAGCAATCCATAGATTCTTCTATATTACAACAATAACTAAACCATATTGTATTATGTGGGATTGATTGCATGGACTACACGAAATCATTCGATATCATTATTCCTTAAATTTCTCACATTTTGAGAAATTTGTCACAAAAGACCATACAATTATTTAAGTTTTTTTTTTTGGCTTCAAATAGTTAGAATTCCGTCATGTTTGGCACGTATAGATTATATTATTCATTCATGCCAAATAATATTTAGAAGGAAGAAAGTGACGACGAAAAAATTTAGAAAATCAACGTGTTAGATAGTTATCAATTGAATATTATGTTTTGTTAAGAAGGATTAATGCATGTCTTATTTAAAAACATTTTGATCTCCATTGTTTCATATCAAACCTACAGTTATCATGAATATTCCTTTCTTTTCCAATGTAGAACTACAAAGCTTGCAAATTTAATATGTTAAGAAGCAATTCATTTCAAGATATGGTGTTAACAAGTTTTCGGCCAACATAATGCATCAATATATCTCTTCATCCCTTACTTTTTTTTTTTTTCTCTTCTCTCATGTTAAATTAGCACATAGGATAGAATTGAAAGACCTTATCTGACTCAACTCTTCTGCGCTTCTTTTAGGTACTGTGACTTAATCTTGTTATTTTTAATTTTTCAATGCATTTTGATTTTTAAGGGACTGTTTAGTATGAAGAAAATGGAGAGAAAGAGCCCGAAGAAAAATTTTAATAAGTTCGTCTTATAAAATTGAAGAAGTGGGGTTATAAAATTTCGATAAAGAAAAGATGTAAGATAAAAAAGTAATTAAAATTAATTAAAAAAATTTTAACCCCACTTCTTCAATTTTTTAAAACAAGCTTATTAAATTTTTTTTCTCCCCTTCCCTCCATTTCTTTCATACCAAATAGACTCTGAAAATAAAAAAAAACTAAAAAAAAAAAGAGGAGAAGAGGAGAGCCAGGGAAAATCTTGTTATTTTTCTGATCTAGTTTCATGGGAAAGAGCTGTGGAACATATTCTAACACCCAAACAGCGGCTAACCTATCTATGGATCAAGAGAGGCCTGCTAAATGAATTGCCTCTTAGTGGGCTGAAAGCTTTTCCACTCCAGCCCACACCATACGGCCGTCATCACTTAGCCCGTCCTCTTATACACACATGTAAGCACATGTACGTACATATAAATTGTGCACGTGTCAAATATAGGCACTTTAATTGTAATGAACTAATTATATCATGTTCATTTATTCTAGTCTATGTCATGCGTAAACAAAAACTCAAAACCATGTCATCTACCTTTTTTTTTTGCGTTATTTTTTTTTCCGAATGAGAAATACTACTTCCGGTCCTTAATATAAGAATTTGTTTGATTTTTATTTTGGTCATCAACATAAGACCCCAATTTATTTTGCCTCTCATACTTAAACATTTTTTTCAAAGGTAATCTTTTTAATAATGGTAGTTCTGACTAATACACTTGATTAACAAGGGTATTTTAGAAAAGATAACACCTATTTATTACAAATAACTAACTTAACTTATTTTCTTAATCTTTTCAAATTAGTCAACTAGCTCTTATAATTAGGATGGAGGTAGTATTTATTTCAACAAGATATGTAAGTCGGGCTCATTAGCCTAATCCTAACTATTTTTTCACGTTTCAAGAAAAGCACAGCACAGCTACTGGCACGTGCTTTTTTGGCTTTTCCCCAAAAAACTAATTATACAACAAATTTTTTAATATTACTTATCTTGTTGTATAGTGTAAAATTATTTAAAATAAACTAAATCAACCGCTGAAGCAATACAATAACAAAGTTATTCCTTCTGCCTCTTCACTCTTTCTTAGCTTCTTTTACATTTATTACCGTGTTCCCAGAAGCAAATTTCTAATTCTAAATGCAT